GGGGTGATGTAGGTGTCTTTAAACTTTTAACTTGATTGTTGGTGTCAGATGGGCTCGTTGCAGTGTCTCAGAAACTACTGATCTACTGGAAGTGTCCACGGTTTATAGAGAAAGCTGTGAAAAGGAATTAAAATAAATAAATAAATAAAACAAGTGGCTTGATGATTCCAGAAATCAGAGGAGAATATGCAGAACAGAACATGTCAAATCTTAAAGCAGATGTGCTACAGCAGCGTAGGCCCACAGGGGGTGCCACTGCTTTCTGGAACTGGAGAGTGCACAATGCTATCATTTCAACATGGACCAAAATCTCCAAGGAATGTTTCCATCACTGTGTTGAATCTTTACCATAAAGAATTAAAGTAGCACTGAAGGCCAGAGTACAGCTCAATACTAGTAAAGTATACCCAACATAATATTTGTATGAAATAAGAAAAGAAATAATGAAAAAAGTATTGAAGTACAGTGTCTGTGTGTAGAATTGGGTGACACGGTTAATTTACAAGATACAAAATCATCAATAGGAAAGAAGATAAAAACATCCCAACATGCATTTAAAAAAATTATTTAGTTTCACTTGTGACTAAAACAGTGTGATTAAATAAGATACATTCAACAAAACATAAAAAAAACCCCACTCACCTAATTATTATTATGTTAAAACAGTAACGCTACGTTATATTACTGCAATACTGATATATAGTACTATATATCAGTATTGTATAGTAAAGTATATCAGTATTATATAGTAAAAACTCCTTTGTCCCACACGCCATCAGACTGTTTAACTCCTCTCTGGAGGGGAGAGGGAGGGGAAACAGGAGGACAAAGGAGGGGGGAACAACTAAGCTGTAGTGCCTCTTCACCTCACTGTGCAATACTTTTGTAATTAGTCAACGGTGCAAATAGACCTCAATACTTGAAATGTGCAATTCACTTGTATTTTTATTTTTATTCCTATTTATTCTATTTATCCCCCTTCGTATATTTTATTTATATTTGTCTCTGTATTTATATAT